AGTTGACTAAGAGAGAAATGCTGGCTCAGAGGCTGTACCAGTGTCGCAAGCATCTGCAATGCAGAGCTAGCTGACCTCCTCCAGGTCTCTGTGCACAAGCCTAGTGCTGGGTCTACCACACTGGAAGTCTATTTTGTTGATGTACATTCTGTCTTACCAGTATTACATACATTTCTTTCAAAATTAAAATACCATGAGGGAAACATGCAATAGAAAATGCTAAGCTAAAATTTAAAAGCCCATTATAAACTCAGTTCTCCGACAGCCCATGACTGAAAAGCTCATGGCTATGAACGGTTTTCTGGTCTCGTGTTTCCTGCCACAATATTTTGAGAGAAGATGAAACTCAGCTGTAGGCTCATGAGAAAAGTTGCCAGAGGGATGCAACTCTTTCCACTATGCACTTGGCTGCTGAACAAACTACTCATGCTGGAAAACGTGCAGAGCAATTTGGAGCAACTAGACTTTCTGGACATGAGGGAGGCTGCTCAAGGACAGGATCTCTGCCTTGCTCTCTTGGAGCCTAAATAGAACTGGCTTCCAAGCCGGTGCTCTACAAACATGAATGAATGAATGAATGAATGAATGACCAAAAGGTGGTAAGGGTAGTCATGAGCTCACAAAGCCTTTTATGGGCTATGTCATCCTCTGTCCAATCTTGGGATGCGACATGGGAACAGCTATAATGGTCGTAAACTCCTCAGGCATGCTGGAGGTAATTAGGAGAGAACAAAATCAAAACCAAGACTTTTCTTTAAAAACGCAAAAACTGGGTTTTCTAGCCGAAACCGGTTTGACTCAGTGGTAGAACGTCAGCCTGCAGATTGAAAGGTCCCAGGTTCGATTCCGGTCAAGGGCATGTATTGAGTACATTGGTTGCGGGCACATCCCCGGTAGGGGGTGTACAAGAGGCAGCTGGTCGATGTTTCTCTCTCATCGACGGTTCTAACTCTCTATCCCTCTCTCCTCCTCTCTGTAAAAAAATAAATAAATAAATAAATAAAATAAAAGAAAGGCAAATCTAAAATATTAAAAACTGGGTTTTCTGACATTGTCTCCATCCTAGACAACCTCCTAAAACCACTGAAGTCTTCAGTTATGAGCAGGAAATTTTACAAAATAACAAACATACTGTGAATGGTAGTGGACAAAGGCATCGATTTTTGGCAAGACACTTCTGAGCTACAATGCTGACTTGTGAATGACTTATCAGCTGTAAAGCTGGAAAGCCCCTTAGCTTGTTTAAATATCAGCTTGCTCATTGGTAAACTGAGATATTTAATTCATTGAGTTATTATAAGAATTAAGAAAAATAGTGCCTGGCACTTAGCAGACTCAATAAATATGAATTCTCTTCCTCGCTCCTTCCCTTCCTCTCCCTGATCTTTCCTTTTTGACACCCATTTATCCTAAAACCACAGAGGTAGGTGAGATCATGTAATTATTTTTTTAAATGTTCTTTTTGCTCCACGTTCAAAGACTTTTTTAAAACATGAGTTGGAGGAGCTCTAAGTTTTCTACTCATTTTTTTTCTGCGTGTCAAATCTAAGATAGTAAATTCTATTACATAATAGAAAAAACGGGAAGCTGAGGACTAGGACATAAACATTATTATAAGGAGACAGATAACAGGAAAAAAAGGTTGCGGCTCTGTAGGCTTCCTATTTTCTGTCATTATATTTAAAAGCGGATGGGGATACAATCGAAGAGGGGATGGCCTTGCTTCTGAAGTTACTGCTACCTTAGGAGCTTTAATGGGGACATCTGTTGGCTTTTTAACAAAGGAAGCTGGAGAGGATCAAGGAAAGTGCAGGAGACTATGGTTCACAAGGGAGCCACATCTGCTTGGTATTTCCCCAACTGAGAAAGCTCAACTTCTGAAACAGCCCGGGTCTCCTGGTTACCCTGGAATCTAGGAACAGATGAAAGCGTTTCTTTCCTCCATATTTCAATGGTACTGATCAACAGCTGTTTATATCCTTTAATACCTAATGAAGGGCAAAGCCTTCACATCTGTCAGCATTTTCCGGTTCCATTTCCTTGGATCACAGTGGGGAGGAGGCGAAGTTGGAGCCCCTTCCACACTCCAGAAAGTATGCCTGGGATTCAAAGCTGTAATGCTAAGCAGAAGTCCCCGTTTCTCATCCACCCAGGGTTTGCTGTTGGCTGAGAATTCTTCTTTTGCTCTATCCTGACAGGTGTCTCCATCAATTTCATGCTAATGATGACTCATAGCAGCACAAAGATCAAAAAGAAGAAAAGTAGGCTGGAATAGGGAGGAGGAAGAAGAGAAGGAAGTGAATTCCAACAAAGAAAGTGGCTCCTGAAGATAAGTTATTTCAAAAAGTAGCAAAATATGGTCTGAGAGCAAATCATGAAGACCCTCAGGGTGATGGTGGATGGTGGTTGTTTTTACTGAGCCCTAACTTTTCACCTTGGAAAAGTTAAACAGGGAAAATTAAACTTTGTGGAGGCAAGGTACACAAAATACCCAGGATGATACTAAAGAGATTCAGAGACATTTGCTTAACTTCACTTTGATCACCAGCAACATATGTAGACATGTTGGGACTTTAGAAAAATTATTTTTCCTTCCTTCCTTCTGTCTGTCCATCCATCATTCCATCCTCCCACCCACCCATTCAACAACTTACAAGGCACCAAGACTGAATTAGTGCTGGGGCAGTCAAATGAATAAGACATATTCCATAACTGTAAGGGGCTTACACTCAATTGTGGAAGAAGACATAATATCAAGGATGCAAGAGAAGATGGTGAATCCAGAAAAAGAGAACAGTGTGGATAAAACCAGAGAGGTAAGAAACACACATTTTCTGGGGAACTAAAAGCATTCTGGGTGGTTATAATAAACAGAGGATAGAGTGCTGGGTTCTTATTAAAAGTGCAAATTCTTAGGTTTTCTTAACAATTTAGTTGTTAAGAAAAACAAACAAACAGGGAATTTATATTTTTTTAACAGAAGCCCCAAGTAATTCTGATACAAACAAAAGTCTGACAACTCTAATTTATATAAATCAACATTTCCCAAAAGATAATAATGATGTTTCATTAAAAAAAAAAAAAAATAGCCAGCAGGTTCAAATTAGGAAATACCACATACTAAAGTATTTTTCCTTTCTTGGATATTTAGAATGCATATTAGCATATTAAAAGTCCTGCAATAAAGAAATCAATTTCACTCAGCACTTCCCAAACATCTTTTCATGTGGAAAAATCATGGTGCACCTATTAAAATCTCCCAGAACAATGGTGAACTGTGGAGCATAAATTGAGAAGGAATCTGATGAGGAGACTATGCCCCCCAAACCAAGTGAATGGCTAAAAAAAAAAAAGATGTCTAGAAAAAGATAGCAAAGTCAATTACTCTGATTTCCTCCGAGCAAAGTCTAAAACCACCTCTGGGAATTTCCTCATCCTCAAGTAACACACCTTGGCCCTGATGTGGTTTCTAGTCACCCACTCCAGTAGTAGCCACAGCTGCCAGCAAGAGCAGAAATGCTCGGAGTTCAAAGCATCAGGGAGCAGGAACAGAAGGGAAAGGACAAAGAGGAGGTCTCCTGGCCCACATTTATTTACCTTGATTGCTAGCATGTGCTCAATGGCTGGTGATGCTTTTAGAAAAGAAAAAATCTTCCCAGCAACAAAAGGAGCCTCTGACTGTCAAAGAAAGTGCAAAAAAGACATGAGCCTAAGAGATTCTCGCCCACTGGAGTGCCTATTAGATGGCTGGCCAGAGGGGTTGGAATCTGCCCTCTTCCTCCTACTCTGGTGAGGAAGCTTTTGCATGCCGCGCCCAACCTCCTTCCTTAACAAGGTGCAGCGGAGAGAAAGAGCATGAGGGGACTGCACAAGTCAAGGCAACACCGTGATTCTGAGCAAACTGGTTTGTGTGCTGAATATTTCAAGATGTACACACTGCCTTAATCAATTTATGCACTTTCTTGTAATATTAACTTAATTACTTCCATACACCCCACCTCAAGTTTTCCATACGCCACATGGGGACACACACATCCCAAGGAGAAGTGATTTCAGCAATGCATTTCAACGCTTCTTTTATCCGCCAACCATTTCAGAGCTTTTAAATAATACTTTCTAACAGCACAAGTATTTTTTCAGTCATTCCACAAATATTTCCTAAGTGCCTGCAGGGGTTTCTAGGCACCAGGCTAGCTGGACACTGGAGATATGACAATGGAAGTAAGGAGATTTTTTTTTCCTGTTGAACCTTGGGCGTAAAAATCCTGATTTTTAAATTCGGCCCGTCAAGTGCATGGAAACAGCAGCATAAAGAAATAAATACAAGGGGTAAAAACTCTCCCCTGGAAGAGTTTTATAACTCAGAGCACAAGGGAAACAAAAGCATTTGTATTTCAAGTGTCCTGGTGAGTCTAGCAACTGCACAAGGGTCCAGAGTTGACAGCATAACCTGGGATATAAATAACCTGTGATCAGGAGAGGAAAGAACAGAATGACAGGATCTTTATTTTCCCAGAATGTTAAACCCTTGTTGAATTGGTCCCCACACAAATCCATGGATTCTCCCATTAGGATTTCTTAACCCGAGAGGTAAATACCAATAACTGCACCAGAGATCATGTAACTTTAACTAGTTAATTAGTAAATAATAAGAACCTTACCAGAATGACTGGGTAGGGTTAGAGTCAAGTCCTAAGGAAGCCAGCAAGATCAAATCTAACATTTCACCAAGACAATGTTCCCCAGCTTGTGATAGGCGTAATTTCATGATTGAGGTCCATGAAATTATTGCTCCACAAATGGTATTTTTCAAAATTTCAATGGGGTTCTTAGATATAGAAAAAGAAACTGCAGGTGTGCGAGAGACAGAATCTGGGGAAACACCAATAGATGAGGTGTGGTATGCAATGTTCAAAGGCAGTCCTGGAAGGAGCCTCAGCACACCTTCTGAGCTCAGGTGGGATGTGACAAAACAACCAAGGAGCTGGCCACGGACTTACCCACGCATGTTGGAAAGATGTCTTCGTTGTTGATCTGGACCTCAATCCAATCCATCAGGAGGTTCATGTACTGGGGAGCGGGCAGTGCGGTCGGCTTCTTGTACTTGAGGTCATCCTGCCACCGATACTCGTATTTGGGGCCCCCCGACATCACAGGGCAGGTCCTCTCGGTGCAGAACTCGCAGATGGTGCCATAGATGAGGTTGATCCGATTGAAGAAGTCCACCACGTGCACGGCCACCCAGTCGTTCTGGTCCTCCCCACTGGGCAGCTGCACTGCCGCCTTCAGGTCCACGCCTGAGTTGAGGGACGCCTGAGCCCGTTTGTGGAGCTCAAACCTCTGGGTGCCAGGTTCGAATTTCCTCTTGGGCCGGAAGGTCTTGTCCTTGTTGAACACCTGCTTCAGAGCTATGGACATGGTCTTCTCCTTCTCGTCCTTGGTTTTGCAGGAAGCAAAAAAGCACCTGGAACTTCCCAGCGAGAGGTCACAACCCAACAGAGTTTTCCACTGCCAGCCCTCTGGCCCCAGTCTTGCGGCCTGCAGCTTCTATGTTAAATGGCCCCTTCCATCTTCCTCTCGAGTGATTTCCGGGGGAAGCTCATGTTTCTTCCTAAAGGAGAAAAAAGAGTCTCATAAGTGCCCAGGATCCATTTAAGAAATGACAAAGGCTTAGACCAGATTTCCATTTTGCATTTCGCTGTGCCCACTTCCATCCAGACAATATGGATGTGCAGGTTAAGCCAAAACCCTGGGAATCCGTATTCGTGATCTTGGTCAAATCTCTGGTTACTCCTCCTTGTGTGATCATAGGCCCAAGGGATCTCTCCAAGGTGTTACGGATGAACACGGTAGTCAAGATAGATAACAAATTCATCAAGCCACTGAATGACTAAACAAAGAGACATCTGTCTGTGCCTTTATCCGGTGCCACTGGGAGAGGGGTACACAAGAGTTTTGAAATGGGAACAGGAAGTCTATCTGCCTTATTTTCCAACCCAGAGCCCCATCAGGACTCCTGCCTATAACTTATATTATAGGCATAGTAAATGGTTAGAGCAATGCTTCTCAAATGTTAATGTGGGATCTTGTTAAAACCCTGGTTCTGACCCAATATGTCTGAGATGGCACCTAAGAATCTGCATTTCTTTCTTTTTGTTGTTTTGTTCATCTTCACCCCTCCACCCGAGGATATTTTTTCCTCTGATTTTTAGAGAGATTGAGAGGAAGGGGATGGGGGAAGAGACAGGAGAGAGAGAGAGAGAGAAGTTGATATGAGAGAGACACATCAATTGGTTGCCCCTGGCACATGCCCCAATCAGGGCCAGGGATAGAACCTGCAACCATGTTCATGCCTTTGACTCAGAATCAAACCCGAGACCCTTCGGTGCACAGGCAGGCATTCTAACCACCGAGTAAACCAGCCAGTGCAGAATCTGCATTTCTAACAAGCTCCCTGATGGTGCCCAATCTACTGGTCCAGTGGTCGGCAAACTCATTAGTCAACAGAGCCAAATATCAATAGTATGATTGAAATTTCTTTTGAGAGACAAATTTTTTAAACTTAATCTTCTTCTAACGCCACTTCTTCAAAATAGATCTGCCCAGGCCGTGGTATTTAGTGGAATAGCCATACTCAAGGGGCCAAGTGGCTCACGAGCTACAGTTTGCCGACTACGATACTGGTCCATGGATGATGCTTTAATTATCTAGCCCTGATCTTACTAAGGGATCTTATTAGAAATGCAGACTCTTGGGCCTCCTCCCAGACTTAGTAGATCTAAGTCTGCATTTTAATAAAATCTAAGAAATATATGCTTTGAGGCACACTGAGTTGAAGGGGAGCCTGGCTGGCTGGGGAAAGAGATGATTAAATAAACTTTCAGTTGGTGTTTTCTTGGCATCATAAACACAGTTTTCAGTTGAGTTTGCATATGTGTGTGTGTGTGTGTGAGAAAGAGAATGACCCAGAGACTTCACTGTTTTGAATACAATGGCCTTGACAGATGGTGACAATGACCGGGTATTTTGATCTTGATTGATTTGGACAGCACAGCACCCTGAAGCAAAGAGATTCCCAGTGAATACCTTTTCATAAATACCAGATGGAAAGTGGCTGCTGATACTGCTTCTGCTACAGCCTCGTGCAGAAAAGCTACTCGCACTAAATAAAATGTAGTGTTGGCAGTAACAGTCATTATTCTCTGTCCTTGTTGTCTCCAGGAAGAAAAGAACAAGTCATAAGTTTTGCTCCCTGGATAGAAACTATAAGCACATTCTGTATTATGAATAGCACCCACTACAATGCTAGTTCTCAATAAATATGTAAAACCAATTGTTCTTTTAAGCAATAAACATTTACTAAAGGCCTTTTATGTGGCAGACATAGGGCTAAGGCAGAAAGAACACAGAGCAACTAAAAACTTGGTCCCTTCCTTTGAAAAATCCACAGTGTGATGTCTAGTTTTGAAGTTAGCCTGTTGGGTTTTGCTTTTTAAACTACAAAGCTAAAAGCACCAATATAGATAGCGATGCGATTCCTTCCCATTGCTACTAAGGTTAGAATGAAAAAAAAGATGATAAGGAATGAGGTCTTGTGGAAAGAGAAACATGGAAATCCAAATAAACAGCATAAAATGGACAGGAGCTCCATATGTTCTCCATATTTTCTGCTTAATAGATCAATTATAGCAATAAAACATGATGTGCACTATAAAAATATGCAGGGAGAATTTAGCTGGGCAGTATGGGAATGTTGACAAGGTAACTAAGCAACACTGGCAAGGAAAATGCTTATTTTTCTTTTCCTATTGATATATTCTGTCTTATTTGTTAAAAACAAAACAAAACAAAACAAAACAAAAAAACGAGAGTCCTTGCCAAGGATAAGGGAGAAATAAAACAAATCTCCCATTCAGTCCTGAGAGATCCATCTTCTCTCAAGAGACCTTGATGGCACAGAAGGGTGGGCAGGACAGAGAGGAAAGAGTCTGATGCTGATATTAGCTGGGAAGAAAGAGGATCAATATTGCATCTGTCAGATGAAGGATTCCTCCTGGCAAGACCAGCTGACAAGGCAACTCCCTACAGGAAGGCCATAAGAGAAATGCCCCAGAAGTACCCCACCTGAGGGACCTACCTAGAGCCCCATTGCTGGAGCTCCAGGGGCAATGGTGGTGCCAGGTACAGAGCCACTTTCACTGAATGGTTGCCGAATGAATGGCTCTATCTCAACCTGTAAGCCGAGCTCTTGGGCTACTCTGAAGTGTCCCTTCCTAAAAGATCTAGACATCTCCAACGTCTCTTTCAAATGTGTCATTCCTCTCCAGTTACCTGAAATTTCCATCCCTTCACAATTGAAGAATCACTAGTCTGATGTGCCCTCTTCCCACTATATTTTTCTCTTTATGGCTGGAACAGTCTGTAGAACCTTCTTCTCATACCCCTAATATTGAATAAAAATAGGTTTTATATTTTAAAGTATCTGTGTGTGAATAAAATGAACATCTGACTTTCCCAGGATCCAATAAGGGATTTGCCTACAACGGAATACTAATGCTGCTGTAAAAAAGAATAGAACTCTTATCATTCGGAAAACTTGAAAGGACATGGAGAGCATGATGCTAAGTGAAACAAGCCAGTCAGAGAAAATAAGTATCACATGATTTCACTCATTTGTGGAATATAATGAGCAACATAAACTGATGAACAAAAATAGAGCCAGAGCTAGAGAAGCATCGAAGAGCCTATCAAACTTCAGAGGGAAGCAAGAGGCAGGGAAAGGAGAAGGGTAGAAGGATGGGGAGGCTGGCGAGAGGTCAATGGGGGAAAAGGGAGAAATATATAATATTATATGTAATACTTTAAACAATAAAGAATATTTTTTAAAAGGATGTACATAGCCAAAACTGGTTTGGCTCAGTGGATAGAGCGTCAGCCTGCGGACTAAAAGGTCCCAGGTTTGATTCCGGTCAAGGGCATGTACATTGGTTTCGGGCACATCCCCAGTAGGGGGTGTGCAAGAGGCAGCTGGTCGATGTTTCTCTCTCATTGACGTTTCTAACTCTCTATCCCTCTCAATTCCTCTCTATGTAAAATCAATAAAATGTATTAAAAAAAAAAAAAAAGGATGTGCATAAAAATGTGATTCTATTAACATTTATGTACCGTTTTACTCCTGCCTACTTATTAGGCACTACCTTTGCTCACAAGACAATCCCCAAATTGGAGATTCCTGCCTAAGAAACAGCCTTGCAATTTTTTTTTGTGTGTGTGTCCAACTAACTAACTTACCTCCTCAACTTGGTCATATTCTAGATTAATTAGCAGAAATATTACGGCCTCACTTTAACCTTGAAAGACAGCCATGATTGAAGAGCTTTAAGAAGTCCATGTTATTTCTTAACACAGATGAAATCAGGACAAACAGGTGCAGCCCTAAGAAGTTTGTCACATGACCTTCACTCCCCCATCATCTTCTTGCTCTTCAACGTCCATTCGAGTTGTATTCTCACTGTTTCATTTACATATTTATTTAGTAGGACATGTTAGCATTAAAAATATGAGTAAATATTCCAAAGTTACAAACATGGCATTCCACCTTGCACAGTGCAGCAGCAGCATCAGGAAGGAGTGCTCAGGGCACAGGTGTCTACATCACAGACCCACAGGATTCTCCCTTTCACAAACTCAACACTGCCTTTCGGAAGAAGACACTGTGGTGACAAAAAATGGAAGGATAGAAAAGGGTGCGATTTATTTGATGTGGTTTAATTCACTACCTACTCATGTTCTACTGAAGGAAACACAGATTTTTTTAAAAAAATGTTCTCTTAAAGAACATAAAGTTCTCTTAAATAAAGGCCTTCCTAAGGCCAAGAGACTGGCTTGGATTCCCAGTAATAAGGAAGATGGCAAACTTTTGATCCACATGTGGATAGGATGGTCCAATGTTACCACAGTTTTAAAAATAAATAATGAAGGCAGAATTATTTTAAGATAAATGCTCAGTTAACCTACTTATAATTTATGAAAGACATACTAATTATTTTAATAATTTTTTCAAAGAATAGAAAACTCCAAATCAATTACCACTTACCCTATTATTTCCAGATCTTTGGAGTGGCTAGAAAATATTTTTGTGTTTAAAAAAAAAGACACATGATTTGAGAACACAATACCTAAGGCAGGTAGGAGAATGGAGAGTTGGGAGGGCACTATAGATAAAGACAATGTAACAGCTTAAATTAAAAAAAAAAAATTAAGGTAGAAAAAAAAGGTGTTTTTAGTTTTTCAAGCACAGGTACTATCACTCAGAACCTCTGTCTGATATATGGGAGAAAGGGCATTGTCAATTACCATTTCCTTCTTTCTCTTTGAGACAGGGTATGCCAATCCTTTCTCAGAAAAGTCTTGCTTTAAAGGAAAAATATTCAAATTCAAGGAAGTTAGTTCCTGTAACTGTCAACAGACTTATTTAATCTTAGCCACTCAAAGTGAATTTGAGTCTTGGGGTCTGGAAAATGTTACCCCTGGCACTATGGCAACTTATGTATGACATCTGGAACCACTGCAAGAGAGTACAGAATGGGCTAGAAGACTGAAAATATAGTTCTAATTTTCAAAAGGGCACTGTGTTAAGCTTGGGAGTGGTGGGTAAAATTGGCACCAACTGCAGGCAAGATTTGGAAGCAATACAGCCACGTAGCTGAACACACAGCATTGGCGGAGCTGCTGTGAACATTCAAGAAGGTATCTGCAAGATGTCTGGAACGTGGTGGGCACTGAGTAACATGGTTGCTGCCATCACAGTTATCATTATTACGATCATATCAGGAGGCACGTTTTAATAGTCAGATTATCGAGAGACCAACCAGCCACCGAGAATCTTAGAATGCTTAAAATTCTATTCAGTTTAATTACCTGTGACAATAACTCACATTTATTTTGCTACTTATTTTAATTTTCACAACAACCGCATGAGTGGGCATTATTATTTTCCCCATTTTAGGGAAACTTGAGGTACATCATGATTAAAACTTTGTCTCAGGTAAGAAAACCAGTAAGTAGTCAAGTTGATTCAAAAACTCTTAACCCCCAATTAAGACTGCCTCTTTAGACTGTTGGGTAGCCAAAACCAGTTTGGCTCAATGGTAGAGCATCGGTCTTTGGACTGAAAGGTCCCGGGTTCGGGTTCGATTCCGGTTAAGGGCATGTACCTTGGTTGTGGGCACATCCCCCAGGGGTGTGCAAGAGGCAGCTGGTCGATGTTTCTCTCTCATCGACATTTCTAGCTCTCTAGCTCTCTCCCTTTCTCTCTGTAAAAATCCAATAAAATATATATATATTTTTAAAAAGCATATAGACTGTTGGGTAGTTAACACACACACACACACACACACACACACACACACACACACCAGGGGAACTTCTCGGGCACATCTGAAGGGGTTGGCGAAGGGGGTGGGAGAGGCACAGACCTAGCCCTAGCACACAGTCACATGCCACTCCCAAAGACACGTGTTTCTTGAACCTTGATGATCTAGTCAGAAGACCTGGATTCAGGTCCTGGCAATAACTCTAACTGGCTATGTCTTTGGATAAGAAACCCTTCATGAACTTCAGTTTTAACTTCTTTAAAGGTAATGGCACTTATTTCTCAAGGTTATTGTGAAAATTTAAAGAGACTTGGCCAGGGAAAGCACTTTACAATTGGAAAACCACTACATAGTCATTAACAGGGTGATGAGTAAAAAATGAAACAAACTTCTGACATGACACCAAGAAATGATATGAGTAATGAAAAATAATTCAATACAAATGTGTGCTGATAAGCAAGAGATAGGGAAGGGGAGCCCTGGATAGAAGAAAAAGAGTAAAATCAGCACGTCCTTCTGGCTTCATTTGGATGGACTGCTCATTCTCAGGCAAAAGGAAATAATATGAATCCAAGTAATTTGATGTTGAGTCAGTGGTCCTCTACATTTATAACCCACTTAGCTTAACATTGTGAGGGGATGCCAACATTTTTTTCAAGTAATAAAACCCACTGCAATATTATCTCATG